CCTACCCCCCCCCCCCCACACCCCCCACATTTATTTTCTTTATTTTGTTGGTATGAATGTGACACTAACTAGTACTACTAGTTGCAAGCTAGAAATGAAGGGTTAGTTATTGAGTATTGACTATATTGTATTCAACTTAGGCTATCATTCTCAATCTTATCAATAGACTCAAAATCAATATTCTTTGGGAATGACTAGACTTAAAAAAGAAAAAAAAATGGCAATGGAAAATAAAATTATCCTTCAATTCCCACAAAGAAACTTCTAGAACCAATATTTTAGTCAAATATTCTTATAAGGTAATTTTATTTTAGGACCAAGTTTGAATACACATTACATGACCATGTCTTTGCTTTAAAAGAAAAAAAGTATGTTTCACAACTAATACTTCTTATACTAATAAAGTACTCATGTTTTAGGACTATTTGGTTACACATTTCACCACCATGCCAATTTTATTTTATTTATATATATATATATATAAAGAATTGTGTCTCATGATTTCAAATTAATTTTAATTTTGAGTAGTAGAGATGTTTCACATGAACCATTAAATAATATTCTTTCCATCACATTTTTTTTTATGTAAAACGATATATGAAAGTTGAACTGTCAATTTTTTTAGTGTTACTTCAAACATAGATTTTTTTAGTTTTTTGATGTAAAATTTATACAATCATATTGAAAAATATTCAAAAAGCATATGAAGATATCTATCTCTTTTTTTGACACTCCATATAACTATTGCATCTTAATTTATTATTATAATTTAGCTTAATTTGTTAATACAAAATAAATTCATACTGTCAACGTACACAATATGAAATCATTAAAATTTCAAAGAAGAAAAAGATACTACAAATTAACATGACCCTAAGCTAACACTTAATTTGCTATTTAAAAAAAATTAAATATAGCTATCAACTTCATCTTTAAAATGTTCGAAATTAATAATATTTTTTGATAATCCATCGCTAAAGACTATATAAGCCGGAGGTCTCAATAGGAAACTGGCTTAAAATTAAATTCAAAGCCGTGTGAACCTTTTTTTTTCTTTTCTTTTTTCATCACTTTTTTTAATTAAATTATTTCATATAGGGTCGGAGTCAGATAGAATGAAAGAAACCCCTTTCGATAAAAAATTATACAATTTATAAATAATTAAAATTATTTTTTACATATATGTAGTAGATGTTGAATTCTTTTTGACTTCTTTATGTGAATACTACTTTGTATTTTAGATTCTTTGATAAAAAAATTTGATTCTGTTACTGATTTCAAAAGACTAAAGATGGAATTTTATATATATATATATATATATATATATGTGGATACCCTCCGTCTACTTTGTACTGCAGCTTTCAGAAATGGATATTGGCTTAGCAGTTGGCGGTGCATTTCTCTCTTCAGTCCTGCAAGTCCTATTCGATAGGTTTGCTCCTCAGGGCGACCTGCTGAAGATGTTTCAGAGGGACAAGTGTGATGTTCGGCTCTTAAAGAAGCTGAGGATGACTTTGCTTGGCCTTCAGGCTGTGCTAAGTGATGCAGAGAATAAGAAAGCATCAAATCCATATGAGAGCCAGTGGCTTAATGAGCTTCAAGAAGCTGTGGATGGCGCTGAAAACTTAATTAAACAAGTCAATTATGAGGTTTTGAGACTAAAGGTGGAAAGTCAGCATCAAAATCTTGGAGAAACAAGCAACCCACAGATAAGTCACCTCAGCTTGTCCTTGAGTGATGAATTTTTCTTAACATAAAGGATAAGGTGGAAGAAAACATTGAAACATTGGAGGAGTTGCAAAAGCAAATTGGTTTTCTTGATCTAACAAAATATCTTGATTCGAGTAAACAAGAAGCAAGGGAATTTTCAACTTCTGTGGTTGTTGAGTCTGAAAACTTTGGCAGGCAGAATGAAATAGAGGAATTGATTGACCGTTTGTTGTCTGAGGATGGAAATGGAAAAAATCTGACTGTAGTTCCTGTTGTTGGAATGGGGGGTGTGGGTAAGACAACACTTGCTAAATCTGTTTACAATGATGAGAAGGTAAAAAAACATTTTGGTTTGAAAGCTTGGATCTGTGTGTCTGAACCATATGATGCCGTCAGATTAATTAAGGAGTTACTTCAAGAAATTGGTTTAAAGGTTGATAATAATCTGAATCAACTTCAAGTCAAATTGAAGGAAGGCTTAAAGGGAAAAAAGTTTCTTATTGTCCTAGATGATGTGTGGAATGAAAACTATAAGAGTGGGATGACTTGAGAAATCTTTTTGTACAAGGAGATGTAGGAAGTAAGATCATTGTGATGACACGTAAGGAGAGTGTTGCCTTGATGATGGGTAGTGGGGCAATCAATGTGGGGACTCTATCTAGTGAAGTCTCTTGGGCTTTATTCAAACGGCATTCATTTGAAAATAGGGATCCTGAGGAATATTCAGAATTTCAAGAGGTTGGAAAACAAATTGCAAACAAGTGCAAAGGATTGCCATTAGCTCTAAAGACACTTGCTGGCATTTTACGCTCCAAATTCGAGGTGAATGAGTGGAGAGACATTTTAAGAAGTGAAATATGGGAGCTGCCACGTCATTCAAATGGAATCTTACCAGCACTGATGTTGAGCTACAATGATCTTCGTCCACATTTGAAGCAATGTTTTTGCTTTTTTGTGCAATATATCCAAAAAGATCATCTGTTTAGCAAAGAACAAGTTATTCACCTGTGGATTGCTAATGGTCTTGTACAGAAGTTGCATTCAGCTAACCAATACTTTCTCGAGTTGAGATCGAGATCATTGTTTGAAAAGGTCCGAGAGTCTTCTGAATGGAATCCGGAGGAATTCTTAATGCATGACCTTGTCAATGATTTGGCCCAAATTGCATCTTCAAATCTGTGTAACAGGTTGGAAGAGAACCAAGGATCTCATATGTTGGAACAAACTCGACACTTGTCATATTCAATGGGTGATGGTGATTTTGGTAAACTGAAAACCCTCAACAGATTGGAGCAATTGAGGACATTGCTTCCCATAATATCCAGCTGTGTTGGTGCCATCTTAGCAAGAGGGTGCTGCATGACATATTCGACATCTAAAGATTGAGGATTGCCCTAATCTCCAATCTCTTCCCGAATCGGGGATGCCCACTTCCATCTCTAAACTAAATATTTGCAATTGCCCATTGCTCAAACCACTCCTAGAATTTAACAAGGGGGATTACTGGCCAAAAATTGCTCATATTCCCACCATATATATTGATGGAGAATACCAGTAATGATTAAAAAAAATGGTGCTCTGACAAATTGTAAGTTAGAATTCTTTTTTTTTTCATTTATTTTTCTGTTTACTTCCCTTTACTTGCTTGTTAATTCTTTTCCTTTGTTAAATCCTTGAGCAGCACAAAGCGTCTATTGCCACTGTGAAGCTGAGGAATCATCTTTGGATCGGGATGAATTTACTTTTAGATGACAGCAAAAAAGGTGATAGAGCGAAAGCTGGTATAAGTAGGAGTTGAAATTATTTGCTTCGGAAAGTTGATAGCATTTCATGTATTCTTGTTCTTTCCGTTTTTCAGTGAGTTAGTTGATCAAAGGACTAAGGAGAATGGAGGTTTAGAGTAATGAACATGCTCACTCGTAAATGCATAGCTCTAATAGAATTCAGAGGTATACAAGACACAAAGTTTGTTTCCTATTTCCGTTTTTCTGTTTACCTTCCTTATCCTTGTTTGTTAATTCTTCTTGTTTTTCTTAGTACTGTTGAACAGTGTGGATCATCTATTGCGACCGTGTGGAGCGAAGAATTTTCATTCTAATTTTAGATGACAAAAAGGTGATATGTTGCAACTAATGTAATCTTTACACTTGCTCTGAGTCATTGTAAAAGAAACCGAGTGTAGGTTAGAATTGATAATTTGCTCTAGAAGGTTGATAGCACAAAGTAATGCTAATGTACTACAAATATTTTACCATTTACGTTGGTAGATATGTCAGCCGGGTGTGCATAGTATTTGGATCTTTATCACAATAGCTAAAACATCACTTTTGTCAGTATTTCGATTTTTAGCACAATGGTTAAAACATCAGTTTCTTGTTTTGGAAGTGATGTTATTTCAAGTTATGCATAAGATCTTAGTTAAGGCGAAGTAGCAAATATTGCTATGTTGTCCTTGAGAGTGTTCAGGATTGAGATTTATAAGTGTAATTACGAAAGACAAAGTTGGATCTCTTTATAATGACGGACATATTTTTGGCTGCTATAGCGAATGATTGTTATTGTTACACACCATAATATCATTTGATGTTTAGATCTTATTTGGCGGTTGTTGATTAAAGAAATAGGCAAGAAGTCATCTTCCTCTAACTTCTTATGTTACTGAAGAAAACAAATTATACTTGAAACTAGTTGTATTGTACCTACAAAGAATTAAACTATTTAAACCACATAGTATTTCTTTTAAAACTAATTAAAATTAAATATTTTAATACGTAGAAAGTTTATGTATACTATCTAGATAACAAGTTGAGAAATTATGAATATACGATAGACATCATTCACCTTCCATACTGCAATTTTTTTTTTATATATATAAATCCTACTAATTTAGGAGCTAATCACCAAGATACTCCAGTTTGTAATATTACGTATTTTACCAGATTTTGGTGCATCCAGATATGTTTAGATACGTCCAAATACATGTATCGCAGTATACATGGATTTTGGTGCATCTAGATATGTTTAGATACGTTCAGATACATGTATCTCGGTATACATGGGATCAAATTAAATGTAATTGTATATTTGTATTTAAGTGGATTCGCATGTATTTGAGATATAACAAATCTCGCTTGCCTCCATCACCTCTCTCCCATTTGGATCGCCACTCTCCAATGTATTTGTTATCCTAGATACATGTGAATAACACCATATGCATACATATATATGTATCTAGTGTATATTTAGTGTGATCTGCATGTATCTGGGGATACATGACGAATCTCGCTTGCCTCTCTCCCTATTTTAGTCTATGTGGCAGTAAAAAAATGTATATTCAAGTTTATTTTCCTCAATATCTAGTAGGAAATTCTTAATTAATGGTAAGATAAGTAATACTATTGAAAGTATAATAATAATAATATATATAATAGTAAAGTATGTCTAATTACGTAGTCTTTCCTTAATACTATATATGACATTTTAAAATCTCTTTTTATTTATTAGTAAGTATCAGACTATCAGTCTATAATATGTAAGTTTGATATTAATGTTGCTTTTGGGTTTAATGTTATTTGGGTCCTTGTATATAAGTAGGTAATTGCTTTGAAAGGTGATGATATGGCTAATGATCGATGTGACTTTTTTTTTCGAGAAAGGTAACATGCATATTCATCAACACACAATTAACTCCGCCCATGTGAGGGTCACAAAGTATAGTCGATCTCAAATTGAAGTTTGAGGAGGACAAAGTGTATGCAAATCTTACCTCCTACCTCGTGAGGTAGTAGAGAGCCTATTTTCCAAAGACTCTCGCTTCAAGTATCACATAATAGAACAATATAATTTGAGATTAAAACACAGTAGTTGATAATTCAATATAATTTGTAGAGGTTCTATTGTTTTAACTTTTTCAAGACTTGATGTTTTTTCAACTATTTGAGTAGGAGTTATTAGTTCTAGAAAATCATTTTGTAATTTCATAATCATAATTTTGTACCAAACAGTCATAATTGAATCATGTTGGTAGCTAATTAGTACTGTAACTACCTACTATATATCATAACCCCTAATCATATGTGTACAACTAGCTAGGTTAACTTAAAAATCAACTTTTAAATTTTAAAAAATTGAAAATTAACAGGAGTTAATTATTTTGAATGCGTAAATATTGTGTATTTGGTCAAGCCAAACCTAACTCAACTAGCATATCAAGACTTTTGAGAGACTAAAATTGACTTCTTCTATTTCTTTGCCCTTCTTTGAAGCTCTAGTCCTAAAATTCCCACTCCCATAATATATCACTATTTTTATGTCGATAGCATCTGAATTAACTTGCATTGTACTTCAATTATTTCACTAAATATCTGTTAGTTCTATGAAGAAACCATCTTTGTTTTGCATGCATACCTCGAATTTAAACTCTGATCTCTCATAATTATCATTTCACTTGATTAAAACTCTGATATGGAGATATATGACGAATCTTGCTCACATCATTATTTAATTTCATAAAATTGATTAGGGTGGGGTCATTTAGAATTTGGCAAGTCTTTCTTTGGTGGGGATTCTCAGAACAATGCAAAATGACC